AGGAGTTTGCCAATAAAATCCCCTAACTATTCGGCCACTCCCACTAAAACAAACCCTATTGGTAGATCCACCATTTGAAGCCAAAAATCCACTGTTTGTAAAGGGATTAGCATTGGGTCCTTGCCCACTCCAAGCCTGTGCTGCACCTGTAAATGTGAATTAAAATACCAAGGTCCGTCCATCTCAATCCGATCAACATCAATAACATGGTACAATTGAAATAAAAATTTTCCTTTATCCAATTTCGTAATAGTACCGGATGTCAAACATTTGCTAGGGTAGTCCTCATCACCTGAAAATTAATCATACTATAAAGAAAAATCCCATAAAGCAGTTTTCAAAAGAAATATCAGTGGTCGTCTCTCCTGCATTGAAGGGTAACGCAGCTTCTCTTCCTCCAATTGTGACTAATTTGCATATGTCCTACCTATGTTAAGTTGACTACATTCCAATTAAATTACTTCACATGGTAGAAAGATAAAAAAAAAAATTGATATCATTAGATTTAGTTTCTTACTGATCTTAAAATATTTAATTTTTTAGAATCTTTTTTATTATATAAGTGATAAATTTATTGCCATATTTGGTTATACAAGTATTAATTTAAGGGGAGACTTAGTTATTACATCAACTTTGAAAGTGAATTGTCATAAAATAAAGAATAATTAGTATAAATCTAACCTAAAATTTAGAAGAAAAAAATTAAAAAATAAGATAAACTAATCTAGTTACCACTGAACTTTAGTGTTTGTATCTATTTTATCACTAAACTTTAAATTAATATAATTATACTATCGAACTTTAATTTTATCTTTTATCATAGATTAGGCTGTTAATTTAGAAACAAAACGATGACGTGATCGATAATTTGATGATGTGTAACACTCCGAATTTGAATCGATAAATCTGAAGAATCTAAGATGTCACATTGAATCGATAATTTTTTTAGTTATATTGAATCGATAATTTTTTAGTTATCTAATCCTACTTAAAACCAAACCACATTTAAGATCACTAAACGTTAAGTATAAAAACATTTAAATCAGACTAAAACCCCATGACTTATACATCAAGTACAAAAAAAAACCTTATAGACTCGACTCTACAAGGTTCTATACTATACATGTCTATTAAAGTAAATATTTATTGTACTCTAGAGAGATTAAATGAGACTCTTTTGATAATGATGTCGTTGTCCCACCATATAAACCGAAACAAGAAATAAGCCTACAAACCGAAACCAAAAGGGCAAAACTTTGCCACACCGAGACTCGGCAGAAGTGCGTGGAAGCCTCGTCAAAGAAGAGAAAGCCATCGGAAGTCGAAAAGCCATCGCCGAACTAAGGTAAAAAATTAACCTTTTGCTATAGATCTACATTATTTGGGAATTTGTTTTCAGGATTTTGGATACGGTTCGGTGATCCTGGGGACGAGGAGAAGTTTCTGGGTGAATTTGATTTTTCCGGCCACCGGAGGCAGCGGCCGGAGTGGCGGAGTTGTTGCTGTAGTATGATTGGCGCTCGGTCAGCTATCGAGGAAGGGGAGAGCATTTGAGAGGATTTTTGAGATTTTTTTTTTGGTTTGGTAAAAAATGATATATATATATATATATTTGGTTTTTTTTTTTGCTATTTATAGTCGAGGGACCTTTGTGCAAATAGGAGATAGTTAAATTATTTTCGCAATCTCTCAAGTTTTGATGTGTAATTCATTTTGGTCACCTATTTTAATTTTGCCTCTGAATTTTCAATTATTTCAATTTGATCCTTCGCTATATTTGTTATATTTTACGATTTAATCCCCTAACCTTTTGTTTTCTTTGGCAGATCACTTTCTAATATTAATTCAAGCCATAAAGATATAATTAATTCAATTCGGTCCTTTTTTTATTTGTTTTTTAGCATTTTTTAAAACAAACATATTTCTTCCTTTTAACATATTTTCTTTTTTTTCTCTTTTAAAATTTATCATTTTTTTTAGTTTATTCGTTTTTTTGTTTTAATATTTTCTTAATTTTATTTTATTTCATTTTATTGCTTTTCACTTTTAATATTGTGTATTTTTTTTTTCATTTATTTTAACATTTTTTATTTTACCATTTACTATTTATTTTTACTTTTTAGGGACAACTTTAACCAATCAAAGGTGTGTAATTTGAATCAAAATTTTAATTTCAATTTTTCGCAATTAAGGCAATCGACAAATTAAATGATACCAAAAGGGCAGTTCAATGGTGCTAATCCTTCCTTAACTGTAACCGACTCTTGAATCCGACATATTTCCGGTAAGACACATATCAAGTAAGATGGTGTCCGATCAACCTTAATATTTTTTAAAATGATCGGTGGTGGCTCCAACCCATTTATTCAAGTCGAAGCCCAATTCCGGGCCCACCCAAAAGACGGTTACGACAAGAAGAAACTAATGTTGTTGGAGAACTTCCCAGGGCTCAAAAGAAGGCTCTTGATGAGCTTAAACAACTCATTCAAGAAGCACTTAACAAGCATGAATTCAGTGTCAAAGAAGAAGAAAAATTGTAGCTGAGAAAAAACAGAAGAAGAAGAAAAGAAAGAGGATAAAGAGGAAGATAAACCTATTATTGCTGTTGAAATTTCAGAAGAGTCCAAGGTAGAAATTTAGGAGGAGAATTCAACAGGATATTGTAACAAGTGTTGGTGTTGGTGTTTCCACTGATGTATGAAGAAGAAGAAGAAGAAGAAGAAGAAGTCATTAAAGGGTGTGGGGAGATGTCGCCAGAGTTTTAGAATTAATCCAAGGAAAGCAAGAGACAATAGGTATGCAGAGGAAGAAGAAGAAGAAGAAGAAGAAGAAAAAGGAGAGAGAGAGAGAGAGAGAGAGAGAAATATGTTGAAGAAGAGATAACGTGGGTGTTTTACTAGTTTTAGTAATTTAACCTTCAATTTTTCCTTAAGCAAAACTACGTTTTTTTTACTTTTTGAGTATTAAAATAGTCGTGCAAAAATGACATCGTTTTGGTGAAGGAGCCACGTCAACAACGTCACGGTCTGAAGATGCCATGTCATCATGCCATTAACAGCGGGATGACATAATTAGAGTGAAACATAAACGCCAGTGATAAAATTGGTAAAATTGAAACGTAAGTGACATTTCGAGTCTGAGCTTAAAGGTGAGTGGTTTTTGAAGTAATTAACCCTAATTTGTAATATCAAAATTTTATTTGATAAAATTAAAATTAAAATTTTAAAAATGGATATTTAAAATATACTTAAAATGGGTTTACGAACCTTCAACCCAACATACCATGAAATCCCAAGTTCGCTTATCGAAAAATTGATTCCCAAATCAAAGTCAATCTAACATTTTAATCCCTAAATTATGACCCGCATCTTAAATTAGTCTCTAAACTTTTGAATACTTCAAATCCATCCCCAAATTAATCCATATATGTAATTAATTTCACCATAGTTAAACCTAAATTTTGTTTTTTTTAACATATAATAATATAATATGGCCTAATGATTTTATTAGCAAGGGGTGTGATTAGCATATACGTATAGTTTGAGGTGAAATTGGAATGTTAAAAAAGTTTGGGGACCAATTAGAATGAAGGCCATAGTTTGTGGATGAAATTCAAATGCTTAAAAGTTTGAGGACTAATTTAGAATGAGTCTTAGTTTAGGGGTGAAATTAAAACATTTAAAATTTTAGGGACCAATTTAAAATGATGGTCATACTTTGAGGACATGTGATACATTTAACTCTATAAATTTAAAATATTATTTTAAAAAATTAAAATGCTATAAATCTTTCATCAAGAAATTTATTCCTTGAAATACTATGACATTAAGTGTGTGTTATATGCTTAATATTTTTATAACTTTACATTTTTACCATTCAATTATAATTAAATTATACGAATCAAATTACTTCAATGGTTAAATAAATAGTTATTATTCCTAAAAATCTCTGATTCGAGCCTAGTAATTACAACAGAAATGATTGAACGTTCATTGTCAAATAACTGAAAATATTTAGAGCCTATACTATATTAAAATCACCTTAACTTAATAAAAAATATAATTAAATTTATATTGATTCAATTTTATTGTCCTTTCCTTCTTAATTTATTATAAACTAATGCAAGATCAAATTCTCATTTGGATTGATGTTTTTATTGGACAAAAATTCTTAAATGGTTATTTATTTCTTTACTTAATAAATTATTTGATTAAACGGGTGGGAACCATGACATATATAAAAAAGAAAACGTTTAATATAAAAAAATAAGTGTCTAAATTATATTTAAAATTAATTTTTTTGTCTAAATTTTTTTCTTAAAAATAAGTGTTTAATATTTTTTCTATTATATTTTTAGGTGTCTACAATTAAAAAACTCGTTAAGTGGCACATATCACATTTATATTTTTTATTTTTTTAAAATAAATATTTTTTAAAAAAATCTAAACATGGCAAGTGTCATTTAACTTTTTTTAAACGATAATCACTTAAAATGTAGTGGAAAAAACATTAGACGTACTTTTTAAATAAAAAAATTTATGCACTAAAAGTCAATTTTAAGTATAGTTTGAACACTTAATTTTTATATTAGAGTAAAAAAAATAAATGATATAATTTCTTTAATTTTATTGAGGTCTTAAAATTGAAAATATCTTTATTTTATATTTTATATGTTCCAAACTTTAAATTAATTCAATTAAAAATTTAATGCGCATGTCAAATTCTGAAATCTAAAATATTCTCTTAATGTATAATTATATGGATTTTAATGGTTAATGAAGATTAAATTTGTAATTTATTTTTTTGGGTTAAACTGTTAATAAATCTGTATGGGGGTATTCTGGTGATTTCATGAAATCTGTTTTTTGACTGACCCTTATCCCTAGCCCTATTTATATATAGAAAACAACGTTGAATTAATCTCTCTCTCTCTCTCTCGCTCTCTCTCTCTCTTCACATCGAGAACTCTAGGTTTTTTCGCCTTTTTCTTCTTCGCCCCGTCTGAAATTTCATCGTAAGCTTATTTTATTCATTAGATTTCTTATGTCTTGTTTCGATTTGAGTTATCCCTAGTTAGTTTGTTTAATTTTTTTATTATTTGTCCATAGATCTGAATGATTCTGGAGCTTTTAAAATTGTGTTTGCTGCTTTTTATGTTAATTGCTTTACTAATATTACTTATTTTTCAAGTTTTATTATTTTTTAATGATAATTTGTAGATGTATTTTAGGCTTGCGTTGTATGAAATTGAAATCTGAAAAATTAAATATAATTTTTCCAAAAAAAAATCTTGCCAAAATTCTGTTGCATTATAATGCTGTAATTTTAAAATCAATTACGATTATGTGCTCTACCACGGTAGCCTTTTGAGATATCTTGATCTCTAGTTACTTTTGATTGTTCATTGTAAGAACTAAGCTGCTTTTATTATATAAGTCTGTGTGATTGTATTTTTGAGTTCTTATACGAAATAATACTATAGGGAAAGAAGCTATGCCGAGGTATGATGACCGTCGTGGTGGCACTCGTCTGTATGTTGGCCATTTGTCTTCGAGGACAAGATCACGCGATCTTGACGACATGTTTAGCAGATATGGGAGGTAATCCAAGTCTTTTGTTATCTTGAATGAAGTAATCTATAACATTTATAATTGTTGCATTTAGCTGATTGGTTTAATGGTTGCATGTCGCTTAGTAAACTTGTTTCAGGTGTCTTAGTTTTTATTTTTCTCTGTTTTGGTGTTATGTTTTTTCCTGTTGAATTAGTGTCTTTTGGATAGGTTCAGGGTCGGATAAAATAGAGCCCTTGTCAAGCCCTTGTTGTAATGCTTGACATCCGGTCTTTCTTATATGAGTGAGAATGTTGTGACCCTCCACGTGTCTGTATGGTTAACTTGAATGATCTTGTTGAAGGTCTGTTGGCTTTTGCCTAACCCGGAGGTCTATGGTGAGAGGGTGACCTTGGTGGATTTGGCGAGTCTTTCTATATTGTTATTCGTGTTTTTAGCGAAATGGCAACAGTCTCAAAAAGTGGTGTTTTTGGTTCATCTGTGATGTGAGTGGCAAACTATCAACCCTTTGATAATTGTGTCATGATGGCCTTACTGTTTCTGGCACCCGTTTACGCAGAGTACGAGATGTGGATATGAAGCGCGACTATGCATTCGTTGTATGTATTTCTCACACCTTTACCTTCATCCCAAACTTTTTCTTATCTATAATATCTTCACTATTTGTATAAAATATGACCATTCTTGCTTGGAACCTTTTTCTTGCCTGCGTTTGTATATTGTTCGCATTGTTGTTTATAGGAATTCAGCGACCCAAGAGATGCCGATGATGCAAGATATGCATTGGATGGTCGAGACATAGATGGAAGCCGAATTGTTGTTGAATTTGCCAGAGGAGTAAGTTTTCTGCTGACTTTTTTAACCTTCAAGAGATTTTGATCTTTCAAAGGTTAACCTTATGGTATCAAAAAGAATCCTTTTATGTTATTTGCTGCATGGTTTTTGCATTGAAATTGGAATAATTTTCCCCGTGTTATTTTGAATGTTATGCTGGTCTACATCATTTTATCTTGTTTTCTACTTTTCTTTTATCATTATTGTTTGAACATTGGATCTGATTTGATTTGCAATTTAGGTGCCACGTGGTCCAGGTGGATCTCGAGATAACCCTGGAAGAGGTGGTCCCACTCCTGGGTCGGGACGTTGCTTCAACTGCGGAATTGATGGTCATTGGGCTCGTGATTGCAAAGCTGGGGATTGGAAAAATAAGTGTTACCGGTGTGGGGAACGAGGTCACATAGAAAGAAATTGTCAAAACAGTCCAAAGAAACTAAGGTTGTCCCCTTCTCCCTTTCATCCACTTTTGTTATTTCAACTTGTTTTATCTATTATGCTGACAATAACTATTTTGTTGCAGCCACAGACCACGCAGTTACTCACGCTCTCCTAGCCCCTACCGCGGTAGAAGCAAAAGCCTCAGTAACAGCAGGGGACGCAGCAACAGGTTTGTGTTTAGCTTTCTTTGGCATTGAGTTCTTAAATGCAAATTACCTTTGACATTTTCCTCTAGTTCTGCCTTGGGTAACAATCCAATTCGTTCTAAAACAAAATTAAACATTTTTGTTGAAGTATATATTTAAATCAAAAGAATATAGCAAATCTGCAGTTTTTTTCAATTCTCTGTATGCTGAATCTTGTCCTTTATGCAGTAGATCAAGATCTCCTGTTAAGAGAGACCGAAGCTATGACCGTGAAGATAGAAGGTCAAGGAGCTCTAAGCACCACAGGGGTTCTCCTTCCCCTTCTCAAGGGAGGAAGCATAGTCCGGATCCTGAGGAAAGAAGGCCACGAGTGAGAGGTAGCCTTTCCCCAAGGGATCGCCGACAAATTAATGGTTCAGATTACAGTGCAAGTCCTAGGGGAAGAAGCAGAAGCCCTGAAGCTGAAGCGGATGCCGAGGACAGGGCTCTTGGGAATTCCACAAAGGAAAATGGTGAGAGCGGCAGCCCTTGTCCTCCACCAAGGGATGATCGAAGCCCTATTTATGATGACGAGGATAATAATGCTTCCACCAGACGCAGTGAATCAAATTAAGGCAAGCGGTGGTTTGAATTGGGTGTTATGCTTATTAGTGACAATTTGTGTTTTTTGCAGTAACTTTGAATTTTATTTTATATGTTTATAACTTTTTTAGTACTTGAATATTTTAAGCTCGCCTTTTTAAATATACTTCCCATGAAAAAATGGTCGTAGCTTTGTTTTTGGTATATATATATATATATATATATATATATATATATATATATAGCGTTTGGTATTTCAATGATATTGATACCGATTAAACTAATATTTCAATACTCGGTTTGCCTGTCGATCTAAACTAGCAGTCTAATGATAATCAGCCAATGGCTTCTACAATGAAAACTCACGTAAGATTAGTTTAAGCTAAGTATTATAACAAAATATTGAAGGTTATGCAAATTTGATAATTAAGTTTACAAAACTATAACAAAGTATTTTTTTATGTCGATTTAATTCTTCCTGCTTCACATAATTTCATCCTGAAAAAGTTAAATTTTATTTTGTTAGTAAACTAGAAAAGAGTAGAAAGGGAAATGTGTTTGGTAAAAGTTCTTAATTTTTATTTTTATATCATCAATTTATTCCATCTTAATTGGGAAATTGCACTCTTATTTTAAAGGAAAATAAATATTATTTACAATAGTTATTTTATTTTTATATAATCTTTAAAATAATAAATAATTAAAAAGATCGAATATAAATTTTTTGATTCATGTACAAAACTTCCACTCTTGTTGAGCAAGGGTTGATTTCTATTGAATAAAATCAAAATTTTTATTTTTAAATTTTTATATTTAATATTGGTATTTAAAACATTTAAATATGGATATGAAAATATAAAATTTTATGCGTGCTTTATTTTTTTTAATGAAGCAGATTCAACATCAAATGGTTCTCATAACTAACTTTCCCTCCAACTATGGAGTATGAGTGTAAAAAATATTATTTAATATATCATCAACTTCACAAACTGTAATTTAAATGATATCAAATCTATTTTTAAATAATAATAATGCATTTCATATCTTATTTTTTAAGTGACATATTTTAAATAAGGATGATTCTTCTACGTTCGATGAGCGGCGATGAAACACCATTAATGATGAGTACCGATAAATTAATTTATAAAATGTTAAAATTCTAAATGACTCAACTTATAATTATAATTAATTGAAAATTTAAACGTAAATTATTTAAAATAGAAGGTAAACTATACAAGTGACCACCTAACTATTGCCCCTTTTCATTTTGACCATCATTTTTTAAATTTTATCAATCAGGTCACAATACTATTTAAATGCATTCAATAAACCACTTTAATCACTGTTACTTATATATTCTATCAATTTGGTCCTAATTTAATAATTAAAATAAATTTACCCTCAAATATATCAAAGTAGTTAATGGAGAGTAATCCAATTTAACGCCGGCATATACAATTTTTCTTTTCTCTTTATCGGCTTTTATTATTTCTAATAATAAAGTAAAATAAATATGTCAAAGTTTTGTGATGAGACGTGCCAACATTTCTCCATGTTCTTCGTTTTCTAGCTTAAAATACAATATTTTACATTGATACATGCAAGACAATTAGTGTAAAAAATTTCATGTGTTTAAATTATATCTTTCAATGATTTTAGGAGTTTAAATTAGATGTTTTATTTTATTTTGTAATTGCTTTTAAACTGTTTGTTTAAAAATATTTATTTTTTATTACTCAGCTATCAAGTATTATAACTTTACTTTTACCTAATTCGTCACATTATAAATAAAACCTAATTGTTTTGGATTAACTTTTAAGAGTTTACATTTTGATTTTACTTAATATAGATGCATTTTTGAAATCAAAGCGTTTGATATTTAATTTTTTTAATTTCTCAAAAATGAAACCAATTTTTTGTAAGTTTTATTTTCTTTTCTTTCTTGTTTGTTTTCCTACAAATTGAAAGAACAAGATGAATAAATACTACTTAGGCACCATTTGATTTGAGGGTTAAGTTTATATTAATTTATTAAAACTAAGACCAAATTGATAAAATATATAAATAACATGGACCAAATGTGTAATAATATCAAATATTTTAACTGTCACATCAGCTTTTCTGTTAAAATTAACGGTAAGTGACTTAATTGAATGTATTTAAATAACTGAGTGACTTGATTGAAAAAATTTCAAAAATGGTAGTCAAAATAAAAAGGCAATAATTAAGTGGTCATTGGTATAATTTACATTTTATTTTAAATAATTTATTTTTAAAAATTTCAACTAATTAACGTTGAGCATTTTAGAATTTTAAATTTTTATAAATTAAATTAATAGTATCATTGTTAGTGGTCCTCGTAGTATAATTTTCTTTTAAATATTAACCCAACAAGAAGAGAATAACAAATAAAAATAATGTTACTTTCGGTTTATGGTGATCAGATATTAGAATCTTTTTGCTAATGGGGTATTAGCGTATATTCCTTGAACACCATTACAGATAATAAAAGTAAAAAATAACAGTAGAAAAGGAGAAGCGTGAGTTAACGAACTTTATACCTACTCGTTTTCACTATTAATATTTTGACGGTCGAATTTAATTATATTAATTTTGTATATCATCTTAACAATACATATTTGATGACTCGGATTTTTTTCCACATAAAGTAAATAATTAAATACTTTTAATTGATTCAAAATTATATATGTACCAACATACTACTCTATAAGAAATTGTAAAAGTGTATAATACCACTTTAAATATAATATAATTTAAATAAATTACAATAATTTGTTATTATCATAAACCATATAATATAATAATTCAATGTTTATAAAACTTGTAATCAAAAAAATGTTTATAAATTTATATAAGTATAATATAATTATAAATATCACATACAATTTAATTTTCACTATCATGTTATAATAAAATTAGTGATTTTTTATAAGATATTAATTACATATCAAATCATAATAATTCGATGTAAAAAGTATAATTTGATTTAAATAATTTTAGTGATCGATAAAAAAGGGATAAAGTAAATTTTAGCCTTTGAAATTGATATATTTTTTTACCTTACTTCATAAATTTTATTTTAACACATTAATTCCTAAATTTGACTAATTTTTTATTTTAATTTGATTATTTGATATTTAATATTAAATTATATCATAAAAATATAAGTTCAAAGACTGATAAAAAAAACTATAAAGACTAAATTAAACAAATTATGAAGTTGAAGAATTGAATTTTACTTTGGTCTCAAATCAGTAACTTTTACCAAAGAGGCGCCAAGAGCTTATAAATATTTGATTCTCGGTGATAAACCCAAGCTGTTAAATTCCCCCTTCTTCGTTGCATCATTTTTCCGGCCAAACCCTCACAGTCCTTCCAATTTTGCCTTTCCTTTTCCTTTTTTCTTTTTTCTTTTTTCTTTTTTCTTGTTTCTTTGTTTCCCTCCGATAACACCCGTGGACCCCCACTCCTACGCCGACTCTAGAAACCCAAGAACCACCGACGTCTCCCTTTCCCTCTACTTCATGTCAGGTTTTCCCTGAAAATGGTGAGAAAAGGTTTAAGGAAAAGTGAAAATTTTAGATTTCAGAAATGAATTCCGTGTATTTTCATTCATGATTCCATTGTTCTGGTAAATTTCATATATATTCATCAGATAATGCAATTATTTATTGATAGATGTATAATTTTTCTAACAGCATAACCGTCTGGTCTACCTCAGCATCCAACTATGGTATTCCTTGTTTGATCTATTAATTGCCTTCCAACCCAGTTACCATCCTCAGCCCAACTTCCGTGCCCATCTGCTGAGCCCCTCATCTGCCCCAATAACAGGTAACTCTCGAATTCCCAATTCATTTTTCAATTTCCCATTTTTCATATCTGTAATCCCTAATTCATCTCATTCTCTTCCCAATTTCTCATCTAAAGTCATGACAATGCCCCCTTCTGCAGTCGATGCTTGTCCTCAAGGATCGAAATCAAGAAATTGCGACTTCAGCACGTTGAAATCCTCCCAGGTAGCGTTCTCCAGTCCAAAGTTCACCCACTGAATTAATAACTGAGTGATGCGTTTATCTAATACCAGGAGAGGATAGACACGAAGTTGACCCTCAGTATTGACCTCGGGTAGATCTCTAGAGGTAACTACTTCCTGTCCGATTTTCTTTTTCAAAAGGCTAATATGGAAGACATGATGTATTTTTGAATTTTCAGGCAATTTCAATTTATAAGCCACTGACCCAATTTTTTCTATAACCTTGTAGGGTCCATAATACCTGGCTGAGAGCTTTAGATTCTTCCTCAGTGCCACCGATGACTTCTTATATGGTTGAAGTTTAAGGTAAACTTCATCCCCCACTTGTAACACTCTGTCACTACGTTTTTTGTCTGCATAATGCTTCATGCGCTGTTGTGCTTTGTCAAGCTGTTCATATAGTATTGTATTCATACCATCTCTCTCCTGTAATAATTTTTGTACATCTGCTACCCTTGAGTCTGTTGACCAAGTCATAGTATGAGGAGTATACCCATAGAGAGCTGTGAATGGAGTTGTTCCCAAAGCAGTGTGGAAGCTGGTATTATACCACCATTCTGCTTGGGACAACCATTCACTCCAACTTGTAGGTTTCATAAAACACATTCCCCTCAAATATTGCTCTAAACACTGATTTAATCTTTCTGTCTGACCATCAGTTTCTGGATGGTAGGCTGTAGTGAAGATAGTATTAGTTCCCAATAGCTTAAGTAATTCTGTCTAGAAAAGACTTGTAAAAATCTTATCCCTGTTAGATAAAGCTATTTTTGGCTGCCCATGTAATTTGTACACTTGGTCCAAATAGACTTTAGCTACCTCTGTTGCAGTAAATGGATGTACTAGAGGTATAAAATGTGCATATTTGGTAAATTTGTCAATGATAACCAATATGCAGTTATACCTGTTAGAGGTTGGAAGTCCTTCAATAAAATCCATAGTGACAAATTCCCAAGCTTGTTGTGGAATAAGAAGTGGTTGAAGTAAACCTGGTTTCAAAACATGTTCATCCTTAATCCTTTGACAAATGTCACACTGTTGCACATAGTCCTTAATCAT